GATACAATATCGATACAAGTCCACGACTTTTTATAAACTCAGTGCATTTTAAACGTTTTGTCTACAGCATCACGTGCTATTACCTAATTTCTTTTGAAAATTTGAATTTATTTGTAGATTTTCAATTACAGTTATTGACATCACGTGTCAAAATTTTAAAATTTATTGCATTTCGTGCAAAATATTCTGAAGTTTTAACACGTTTGTGCATTTTCGTGCAAGTTTATTAATCGCAGTTGTTTTTCAAACAATTCTGTAACATATACTTGGTGTATTCGCTCCAATTTATTATTTCAAAAATATAGTTTTCAACGAAAACTCTCATTTCCCACATTTTTCTGAAATCTATTCATTTTTTATTTCACAATGCCACTCACTCCTCTAGATTTATTCATCCGAGCTACTAATGCTTTGGTTAAATTTGACGCAAAATTCAGTTCCCCACGGGACGAAGAGCTGGATGTCTATATTTTAGAACTACAGGGAGCTGAGGTGAAGAGATTATGGGAAAAGGTACAAACCACGTATGACAAATGCCAAAATTATTTGACAGAACAATATTGTTCTAGTGACCATTTCACTGCCGCAGAAACCAAATACGATGTCGCATATAATTGTTTCCTTAGGGTCCTCTCTTCTATAAATAGAAAATTAGATGAACTTTGGGCTCCGCCTTCTCCTCACTCAGTTTCCAATGCTACGCATCAGTCAACAGTTGGTGAGGAAAATACTAGTCATAGGCTCAACTTACCGCCTTGCGACATTGAAGTTTTTGATGGTGACTTCCTTAATTGGCCTACATTTAGGGACTTAATTTCTGCGGTATACATTAACAATTCAGGCATTAGTGACATTGAACACCTATGTCACTTAAACAAAAAGACCAGTGGCGACGCCCATGAAATTGTGGCTAAGTTTTCGCTTACCACACAAATTTTGGTCTTGCGTGGAAAGCTCTAAAACGTACACATGACAATCCACGTATATTGGTGAACCACCAACTTAAACTTCTATTCGATTTGCCTGTTATTGATAATGAAACTAGCTCAGGCCTAAACCAATTGCAAAGGGGTATTAATGGATGCATATCATCCATGTCAAATTATGAAGTCTCCACAGAAGATTGGGACCCTATCCTAGTGTTCTTATGTCTTCAGAGACTACCACAGAATTGTGTCACACTTTGGCAACAAAGTATCAAAGATAAGTCCGCTTTGTCTTCCTGGCACGATTTGGATAAGTTTCTTACAGAACGTATCCAAACTCTTACCTGTCTACGTGACATTCGTGGCATTGATTACGTCAATAAGCCAAGTAGCAAAAAAGTTCGTCCACATTTCACAGGAACGACAAACGTTCATATTGTTCATAAAGGTACTACGTACCTAGCCAGAGCTCTTATTGACCCTGCTTCATCATCATTCATTCATTTCGGAAGAAATGCGAAATCGAACGGGCATACCCACATATTATATATTACTTGGTGCAGATCTTTATCCGAAGATCATGCTACAGGGTACACGTTCCAACGTACTAGGCTCGCTAATAGCCCAGAGTACGATTTTCGGTTGGATCATTACTGGTCCAATGCCCTCTTCCTACTTACGTCCTTCCCTTTAGGGTAACATTTGGGCGACTTTGAGCAAATTATGCTCCCTTTTATCCATAGGTGTCGATAGTAACTAAAATAATTGTGCTAGGTAAGTTTTCTCACGGAAAACATAAAGATAACATCGCCTACATTATACCCTACATACACGCTACGCAAATGTAGATTCTACGATCTACATTCCGGGACTTCGTCCCAGTTGACTAGTGTTATTTTTCTAATAAAAATGTACACGCTTTACGAGCAAACTTCAAATACAGTCCACTACTCTCCCAGAGTCAAACATTTTCAATAACACATCTGGTCACTTTCAGTTTCTTCTACATCATTTGTCACGCAAATGTCTCAAAATTGTTCTACGGGTTTACGACCTCCCATAATTTATTCTAAATCCCACAATCCTTTTGCAGGATTATGAAATCAAATATAATACACTGTTGTTACGCATCTTTCATAATTACAAATACTTCCACATCGTGGATATAATGTCGAATAGTAGAGGTGCACTCGGGATTTTCATACGGAAAACGGTACTATATAAAAGTTGTTACGCAAGTAATTATCATAGTCCATATCTCGAGTCGTCTATTGCCACCTCTTTACTTTTTCGCGTAATGAAAAATGACCATTGATGGTCGCGATAGAATCGCGCGTTATGGGACTATGATAATTACAAAACGACCTACGGTTTTTACTGGTCATTCTGGCCATACATTTATTAATTATAATCCTCATCGTTTCGGTATCACATCTCTCTATTTTCACAGAAGATGGAAATTTTAGGTACGATGACTGCGGTACGATATTGAAGACGACGTCCTCATGTTCGATGAGGAAAGGGACTTCAACCTCATAGGTGTCCCCATCGCCAACGAGTCCATGCCCTTCGGGATCCCACGAAGCTGCTTCTCCATCGGAGAAAAATTATTTAAAATCCGTCGTCGACGGTCCCTGAAGTTCCTTCAGGAGAACCGGTGGTGTCGCCACCTCTTTCGGCACATTGTCGAAAGAACGTCGTCGACGGTCCCTGAAGTTCCTTCAGGAAACCCGGTGGTGTCGCCACCTATTTCGGCACACTGCCGAAAGAAACAGGGTTCGAAAAGAGCGTGCATAATGTTGTTCCAACAAAAAACTTATTCTAGCCCTGGTTTTCCATGTAGTATTGAATCATCACGCGATGGTCAATCTTCAATTGCCTAGCCGCAAGACTCTGCGAGTCCTTTGATAATAAAAATTTAACGGATCCGACCTTGACGAGACATTGCACGATCCTGCTCGTCGAGCAAAATATTTAGCATTAATATGTTTTTTGAAAAAAGTATAAAACAAACAAAAACAAAAAACAAAAAAAATAACAAACCAAACATTACCTACATATTCATTTTGCAACATAGCAACATGTTGCAACGCGGGCGGCAATGATTATTTTGAAATAATTTCTTTTGAATTAAAGTAAATTGTGCCCCCATCGTTATATCTTGTTCACTACCTTTATATACGTCTTTGAGTATTTCGTACTAAAGACAAAAGGTAGTAGCAAAATATAACGAGTAACTATGTCAAAGCGCCGCTTGGTGACATCTTAGCTTTTCACAACACTCGTTCTTTAGTTCACGACCAAAAAGCATCAACCCCTACATCATGTAGCAAAGGTAATATTAATTGTTCCACGAACAATTCAATAAAAAAAAAAACAAATCTACGTTTGGTAAAAAATTCTTAAACAATTGTCTTTTTATTTCTTTATTTACATATTTTGCATCCACGCAAACATCCACTATAGGTATTTGCAATGAAAATATAGGGAACTTATCAAAAAGTGGGCCTATATCGATAATTCCAAAAACCGATTTATGTAAACCATTATGTACACCAAATACAAATTGCAGTTATTTGTAATGAGAATTTTTCCAAAATCTGAAAACTACAAAACGTGGACTGATACTGATAACGCACGGTGGAGTATAAAATCCTCAAGTTACAGTCATTTAGATTACAAAGTTATATGAGGCTATACCTAAAGGGGAACCAATATTGATTACATAGTGTAGGAATTGGCGAATATTTGGGGTTTTCATTGGTTTAGTTTTGTATCTCAATTCTTTCCTTCAGGAGGTATAATTATGTGGGGGAGATGCATAAATGCTGGCCGATATATTTCATTAGCGTCAGGTTCGAGCTTTTTATAACGATATCCTTAGAAAGCGGAAAGATTAAACCGATGGCTAAATCGTCTCATAATTCCATAATTTAAAGGGTTAAATTGACCATTTCGGGTAACGGCCTATATGGGGACAACCCGCCTATATGGGGACAACCCCAACACACGGAACTAATCAGTTAACTGTTTTAATATAAACCAGTAAGTAAAGTCGTACATTTATATCCTAACAACTTCATGTCAATATTCCTTTGAGGGAAGAAATATGTGATCTTTATATATAAGTGAACCGACTAACATCAATCCATACACATGCCTTTCTGCAACCTATGCTAAATGCCACTTAATTCGGGCAGATTAAACTTGTTTGCGTACAATGAGACACATTAATGTAAATCGCTATTCTGTATTCCGCAGTGTTCAAAATTTAATATCAATCAGACACCCGTTCGAAATATATATTGCATCTGCACCAAATTCAAAAAAATGCAAAAACGCCATTCTATCTCAATTTGATAAGTTCGTGGCAATCGGACAAACTTTAGGAGTTTGGTGCACCAGCTACCTAAATTTGGGGCTATATCTAAATCTGAACACACATCATTCCAGACTTAATTCAGTATGCTATTCCAAATTTCGTGCAAATTGAAAGTCAGATAGGTGATCATTTAAATTAAATCGGAGGAAAATATATATGGGAGCTATATCTAAATCTGAACCGATTTTCCTGAAACAACATACATCATTTGAGACTCAATTTAATACGTTATGCTAAATTTCGTGCGAATCGAAGATATATAGGGATTTTGTTGCAATATTTACATGAAATCGGACGAAAATATATACAATTTAATATGGACAGACGTACCGACATGCATAAATCGACTCAGAAAAGGAACCATCTCGTACGAATATTTATTGTACCAAATGTATATTACGTTTTCTGATGAGCGTGCGTTTATGCAAGAAAATATGTCTTTCCGGTGGACGCGAAATTTAGAGTAACGTACTAAATTGAGTTTCGAATGACTTGTCCCTTCTGTTTTGTTGTAATTCCTGCAAAAAATATTCGTGCAGATGATGGCTCATAATGAGAATTCTAAAATTTGAAATATTATATTTGACTTGAATACCAAACAATTAATTTTATAGCTCATAAACAGCAAATTAAATGGAAACGGAAACACGAATTCCAAGCAGCAAGAATCTATTATTCTTATTTTGCTTGCGATGTTCCCCGAATATCAACAAAAAGTCTACGAGGAACTATTGACCATATTTCCAGAAGGAGGAGATATTGACGTCACCTATACAAATATTCAAGATATGACCTATATGGACATGGTTATCAATGAATCAATGCGCGTAATAACACCAGTTCCTTTCGTAGGACGTGAGAATACACAAGATATTGAACTATCCAATGGAATGGTTGTACCAGCTGGAGTACAATTTATTGTTAACATTTTCGCCCTGCATAGACGTTACGATTTGTGGGGTCCCAACGCTGACATGTTCGATCCCGACCATTTTTTGCCTTGTAACATAGAAGACAAACATCCGTATGCATTTATTCCATTTACCAAGGGAATTCGGAACTGTATAGGTAGGAGCAACATAATTTCCGTACTGAAACTAATTTTCTTACTCGTTTAATTTAATTTATAACACAGGTTGGAAATATGGGCTTATGTCTACGAAGGCAACCTTGGCAAAGTTATTAAGGAACTTCAAGTTTTCCACTGATTTCCAATATGCTGATTTGGAGTTTGATTATGCAATTGTGATAAAACTAAAGAAGATTCCCGGTTTGAAGATTGAAAATAGATAAATATTGATAACAACTAAATGCGGAAGTACGTGAAATTCTGAATCTGCATATAAATAAAATTGTTTACCAAGAATTTATTTAAGATTTGCTCTAAAGTTTTTTTTTTTTAATTAACTACGAAGATTTGTTGACCTTGAGGTCAGTGCAAATTACAGACTTTGGCTTAATATTCGGTTAAGACCTTCAGCACATCGAAAATATCCAAATACTAAATTGGGAGCGATGTTTATTCGGTGGTTTGTTTTCACCAGGAACCTGGAATACCATAGCATAACCAGTTTAGTTGGAAAATACACCTAGCATTAAAATCAGAAGTCCTTGTGTGTGGTTTCCGACGATGTATAAAAAATAACGACTATATTTGTTATTCCCAGTGCAGTTAAATGCAAAAATGTTAAGTAGTAAGGAAAAAATGCTAATATTTGGTTAAACGAAATATTTAAGACGGAATCTGAGAAGTGTATATTGGACAGCTAAATCCAAAGTGCAGCTATGTACAAGCCAGCTAGAACAAAACTACTCTATTTGAAATCTACTTCAAATCAATTCCTCACCCCTTTAGAACTAATTGTGCATATCCAGTTTGCAGAGGGTAGTATACTTCCTCACAGAAATATGTTTTATGTGGGTCCATGTTTCATGCAAACGTCTCGCTTTTTATAGTGGTCCACATTACTCGATTTGATTGATCAATTGTAGAATTTATACTATTGTTTGTCAATTGAAAATTTAAAACAAATTTTCTGCAAAATGTTTTTTTTATGTTTATGTCAGTCTTACTGCCGATGAATTATCAATTATGAAGTGAGAAGCTTAAATATCATCTTTTTAACCTTCTCACTTTTCGATATTTCTTTCGATAACCGGTTTTTGTTTGTTTTTACAATTCAGCTTTAATAAACGGTGCACAGTAAAAAAGTACCAACAAGCTTGAATAACACTGTGCAACACAAAAAATAGTTACCGGGAAATTCCAACAGATTATGAAAGAGGGGCTAAAAAAAGAAGACACGTGTATCGGCGTTTTGAAATTTTACGTCGGGAGGTAATCTGAAAAGGGGTGACAATATTCCCCTTTTTTTGAATTTTGATAATTTTCGAGTTATGATTTCATGAAATCCTTGAATTTTAGGTATATAGTGTCTTCGGCAATATTACTGATAAAATATCGGGGAATATTTTGCTATACAACTTTAACCCTCTGCCGACTCATTGAAGGGGCCTTTTCCATCCCCTTTTCCAGAAGTAAATTGAAAACTCATTAAAAACGGTGATAAAGCTGATCAGAATATTCTACATAAATGTTCGCCATAATGTATAACTATAAGTCTCAGAATAGACTAAAAATCAAAAATCAGCCTAAACATTAAAAATCTTAAAAAAACAAAAACTCGTACTCGTACGTACAATCGTACTTATTTCTAGTTTTTACCCACATTGACGTTTATTATAGTCAACGTCAAAGTTTATACCTAAACAATCTTTTACATACCCTCAGCACTAATACAAGCCGGCATATTACTGTCTATGAGTTAAATCAATTTACAATTAAGTCATTAATATCCGAACAATTATTTGATTAGTACTGCAGTCGAGTGCGCTTAATAACGAACACGGGTCATAGAGAACTTTGTTTATAGTCCCCACTACTTCGCTACAATCGTAGTTGAATGTATATCTGTCTTATCAAATATAATAATTGTACCTGGGAATATTGGAATTTTTGGTTAATATTGTGCTTCTATGTACCCAAAGTGGTGGAGGGTATCATATAGTCGGTCCGGTCAGACTTTTGAACTTTACTTTCTGGTTGTTTCATAATATATATTTCTGTACCCACCACCATAGTATGGAGGGTACATTAATCTTGTCATTCCGTTTGTAATTCATCGAAATATTAATTTTCGACCCTATAAAGTATATATATATATATATATATATATATATTCTAGATCATTTAAGCATGTCCGTCCGTCTATTGTAATCACGCTATCTTCTGAAGAAATTGAGATAGGGTGCTGAGATTTTGCATAGGGCATGACCAGTTCGAAGATGAGCTATATCGGTTCACTTTTAGGCATAGCCCCAATATAAGGGTACCCCCAATTTTTATACCCTTCACCACACTGTGGTACAGGGTATTATGTCTTTGTGCATATGTTTGTAACAGGCAAAAGGAACCGAGATAGACCCATAGTTCCTTTTGAGAATATGCATAGAATCACTTTCTGAGCCGATTTATGCATGTCTGTCCGTCCGTCTGTTGGTGTTAAACTGTAAACAAAGTACAGGTCGCATTTATAAACCGATTTGGATGAAATATGGCACAGCTCATTTGTTGGCCCAAGGACGAACCCTATTGAAATTGGTAAAAATCGGTTCAGATTTAGATATAGCTCCCATATATATTTTCGTCCGATTTCATGTAAATGGTGCACCAAGTCCCTATATATCTTTCGATTTTCACGAGTAATGTCTGCCAAATTTCATGGAAATCGGTCCAGATTTAGATATAGCTCCCATATATAGTTTCGTCCGATTTCACGTATTTGGTGCACCAAAGTCCCTACATATCTTTCGATTTGCACGAAATTTAGAATAAGGTACTGAACTGAGCCTAGAGTAATGTCTGCTAAGTTTCGTGAAAATCGTTCCAGATTTAGATATAGCTCCCATATATAGATTCGTCCGATTTCATGTAAATGGTGCACCAAAGACCACATATGTCTTTCGATTTGCACGAAATTTGGTATAGCATACAAAGTTCTTATGTTGCATAGCATACTGATTTTAAGTCAGAATGATGTGTCAAGTTTCCTGAAAATCGGTTGAGATTTAGATATAGCTACCTTATATTATAGATTGATTTTAAGTAATTGACGCACCAAGGAATCATTATATGGCTGATAGAAGTACAGATAAAGCCCAATGGATGACCTATTGATATTTGTTTGAAGTCGATTTACATATGTTTGTCCCATTGTAGCAAACGAATGACATGTTTACCTATAGATCTAGGTCGTTTCACATTTAAATAAATATCACATATTTTATTTTATACAATTTCATGTTAATAGCCCTGTTTAATATACCCATAGTGGTGAAGGGTATCATATAGTCGGCTTTACTACTTTCCTTACTGGTTTTATTTTAAGATTCTAGAGCGCGTTTTTCATCCGAATTATTGGGTACCAAATGTCTCCACAAAAAATGATGAATATTGGTCCACTTTTTCTGATAGCCCCCATATACCGCAATTTTCGGTAATTTAGTACATTGGTTACCAAATCTTTTCAACAAAAATTATTAATATAGACCCACTTTTCCGGTAAACCCTATATAAGGGTACCTCCAATATTCAGTTTTTTGAGAGTGTTGAGCGTGTTTTCAACTGATTTCGCTGTAATTTGATATTTTGTAGTCGTATTTGGTAACAAAAATTATTAATATTCGTCTGCTTTTGGGGGTAGTATCCATATGACCCCCTTTTTACACCCTCCACCATAGTATGGAGGGTATATACATTTTGTTTTTCCGTTTGTAACTCATCGAAATAATTATTTCCGACCCTATAAACTATATATTAGTTTGGGGAAAAGGAAATTCATTACTTTTGCGGCAGATGGCTGTACTGATAAATTTCGATCAAAATCGATCAAACAATTTCAGATTCATGCTCGTTAGGAAGGGTGACATTTCGCAGGAAAAAAGTTAGTTTGCTAGTTTGTTTGGTGCATTCAGTTGTGAGTTACAGGGTGTTAAAAATGGAAGCCAAGCTAAGCGGCTAATATTGTGAACCACACCGAACAAAACGATACTGTGACAGCCAATTATGTGCAATTTTGGTTTCGTAGATTCCGTTCTGGAGTTTTTGATGTTTAAGATGCACGGAGAAATGTCGTGTAGACCGGCATCTTAGCAGTCGTAACATCGCCCAGGAGCTAAAAATCGACCATAAAACTGTTCAAACCCATTTACAATTGACCAGAAACGGCCAGAATTGGCCAAAAGTTGAGGTGTCGTGTCAGGACAAAGCTATGTCACACACATCTACAGTGACTCGCAAGAAACTTCGGGAGTTTGGTTGGGAAGTTTTAATGCATCCGAGAGATGACTTCTAAAATGGCAACAAATCATACAACAACACGGTGCACATTTGTCCCAAATCGGACGTTCCGATTTTAAATAAAGTAAATTAAGTGTTAACAATTGAACGTTTATCTACATAAACACGGTCTTTCTCAAAGCTCCACAAAGAAAGACTAATGGTGTCAAATTGCGTGATCTTTGGGTCTAGATGATATCGATACGACGAAAAATCACGGAGCCAGTAACAGCCTCTAGCAATAAAACGATATTAGATCGTGTTGTGGGGCATGAGGCACAGTTACAAAATAAAAACTAGATATTAGTTATCCTGTCCGCCATCCTTAAAAACAGTGTTTTGAAAAACGTTTTTAAAGTTTGAGAATCACTCTTGTCGCCGCTTAGTGCTGACACACATAACATTTTAAGAATACATTCTTTAGAAGTTATATGTTCAAATTACATAAAAATAAACAAGTAAAAACCAGTAAAGAAAGTAGTAAAGTCGGACTGAGCCGACTATATGATACCCTTCACCACTTTGGGAATATTCTACATATGTATCCTAAAAGACGTCGCCTTTTTGAATGCAATTGAACGAACTTAAATATGTGATATATATATATATATATATATAAATATCTAAACCGACTAACATTAATCCCTACACATGTCATTGTGCAACCTATGTACTGTTTAAAACTTAATCTCAATCAGACACCCATTGATTATTTGGTGTACAATTAACATGAATAAGTCAAAATTATATATGGAAGCTATGCTATATCTATATCTGAACCGATTTCAAGGATACTTGCCAGCGATTAATATATATTTATTTGAGTACGTTGTGTCAATAGGCCGAGCTATGGATCTTAAGTGCACCATTTACTTTAAAGCTATATCTACATCTG